ATTTATTGAGTCTTTGTATTATTTTCTTTGTTTCTAGTTCATTAATTTCTGCCCTGATTTTTGTTATTTCTTCTCATCTGCTGGGTTTGGGTTTCGTTTGTTCTTGCCTTTCCAGTGTCTTGAGTTGCAGTGTTATGTCATTTATTTGTATTCTTTCCAATTTTTCAATGTAGGCACTTAGAGAGCGTAACTTCCCTCTAAGGACTGTTTTCAACATGTCCCAGAGGTTTTGTTGTGTTGTATTGTCCTTTTCATTTAGTTCCAGCAATACTTTTATTTCTTTCTTAATTTCTCCTTTCACCCATTCATCATTCAGGAGTGTGTTGTTTAATCTCCATGTGTTCGTGTAGTTTCTAGGGTTTCTTCCCGTGTTGATTTAAGCTTTTTGCATTGTGGTCTGATAGAATGCATGGAATTATTTTAATCTTTTTATATTTGTTGAGGTTTGTTTTGTGTCCCAGTATATTTTCAGTTTTGGAGAAGATTCCATGGGGCACCGAATAGAAAGTATATTCTTTGGTGTTTGGGTGGAATATTCGGTAGATGTCTGTTAGGTCCATTTGATATATTGTATTGTTTAATTCAGATGTGTCTGTTAATTCTCTGTCCTGTTGACCTGTCTAATGGAGACAATGAGGTATTGAAGTCCCCTACTATTAATGAGTTGGGATTAATCTGGGTCTTCCTGTAGTACTGTTATTATGAAGTTGGGTCACCAGAGTTTGATGAATGTATGTTCATGATTTTAATATCTTCTTGGTAACAATTGTTCTTTGATCAGAATGAAGTGGCCCTCTTTATCTCTTCTGATTAGTTTTATTTTAAAGTCTATTTTGTCAGATATTAGAATTGCAACACCTGCTTTTTTCTTAGTACTATTCACTTGGTATATTTTTTTTCCATCCTTTCACCTTAAGGTAGTGCCTGTCCTTGAAAGTGAGATGAGTTTCTTGCAGACAACAAAAATGATGGGTTTTTTTTCTTAATCTATTCAGCTAGTCTGTGTCTTTTGACTGGGGAGTTCAGTCCATTGATATTTAGAGTTATTGATGAAAGATGTGTATTGAATCCTGCCATTTTTTTTTCTTTTCACATTGTTGGTATAGCTGTGTATTTCTACAGTTATACCTTCATTGAGTTTCTTTCGGTAACCCTTTGTGTATTGTCGTTCTTTTATTCAGCTCTTTATATTACTTCAAGAACTCTCTGAAGGACTGCTTTTGTGGACATTTATTTCGGCCTATTTGTGTCATGGAAGATTTTTCTTCCCCCTTTGACTGTAATAGACATTTTGGCTGGGTAAAGTAATCTCGATTGGCATCTGTGGTCATTTAGATCCAGGAATATTTTGTTCCAGTCCCTTCTGGCTTTCATAGTTTGCACTGAAAAGTCAGCTGTAATCCTGATGGGTTTTCCTTTATGTGTGACTTGTTGTTTCTCTTTTGCAGCTTTCAGTATTGCCTCTTCATTCTGTACATTTAGTGTTTTTACTGTGATGTGCTGTGGAGAGTTTCTTTTCTGGTCCTGTCTATTTAGTGTTCTATGTGCTTCTTGTATTGTATAGGCATGTCTTTCTTTAATTTTGGGAAATTTTCTTCTACAATCCTATTGAAGATCTGGTCCATACCATTATCTTGGGATTCTTCTCCTTCCTCTATGCCTGTGATTCATAAGTTTGGTCTTTATGGTGTCATACAATTCCTGCCTATTCTATTCTTATGTTTTATTAAATTATTCATAATCTTTGTTTGAGTGGTCTAATTCGTCCACTTTATCTTCCAGTCTTGATATTCTGTTTTTCATTTCATTCATCCTGTTGATGAGGCTTTCTCCTGTCGTTTCTAATTGGTTTACTGAGTGTTTCACTTCCTTCTTCATTTCAGCATGAGTATTCAATATTTCTATCTTTTTTTCTGAATTCATTCAGAAACTTTATCCCTATCTTCTTTCAGTTCTTTGATTTCTTTGTGTGTTATTTAAATTCGTTGAATACTTTTATCATGTTTATAATTGTTCTTTTGAGTTCCATGTCCTCTTATCTCTAAGGGGTCTCATTGTACTCCTCTGGAGGACTATTGGTACTTGATGGGGATATGTTATTTTGGTTTCTCATGTTACTATTTTTTCACTGTGACTTTGATATGTGGATTTCTTTTGTAGTTTCTGACTCTGGTGTGAGACACAAGCCTTCCTTTGTTGAGTTTAGGTCTGCTTCTTTTTGTAAACTTTATGTGCCTTTGTGGTTTACTTGTTGGGCATGAAATGCTGGTTGGTCTAGGCTTCAGGTTCTCTCTTTTGATTTTATATTGGAGTGGCCTAATTGCTTTTGTCTTCAGGAGTTCCCACAGAGGCCCAAGAGGATCAGATGCTCTGAGGCTTTCTCCTAAGGTCTGGATCCCTCCATGAAAGATGCTGCCCTTAGGAATTTGGGGGCTGGGCTGGCCTGGGAATAGGGTACAGGAAAGATGCTGATCTCAGTAAGCTGGTGCCTGTCCCACCCAGAGATGCAAAGGGAGGTGGGGGCAGGAAGAGTTCCCGAGGCCTCCTTGGGGCTACTGGGAGGAACTGGGTTGGCCTGGATGCAAGGGCCAAGAGGTCAGTCCAGGGGACAAGAAGCAGGCCAGTATCCAGGCCAGGAGGAGAGACAGGGCGGGGGAGCTGGGAGGCTGATTGAGGCTGGAGGAGTCAAGGTACGGTGGGCCCAAGGGACCCACCCTGAAAAGATTGTAGCACCCAGAATCTGGTGGCTGAGCCGCCCAGGGAAGCAAAGGTAGGTGGTGGCGGGATCAGGCACAGAAGGCTCCTGGGGACTGCAGGGAGAGGAACTAGGTTGGTCTGGATGCAAAGGATCAGGAAGCAATGGGGACTCTGGGCTGAGAGGTAAGCCCCGGTGTCTGGGGTGCCAAGACAAGTACCCAGGCCAGGAGGAGAGATGGCGTAGGGGAGCTGGGAGGATGAATGAGGCTGGGGGAGTCAAGGTGCAGTGGGCGCCATTGGACTTACCCAGGAAAAATGCTAGCAGCAGGAACTGGTGGCTGTGGAGCCAAGGGAAGTGAAGGGCACCAGTGTTACTTTTAAAGTTTTGCCAGGATAAGGGCTAGAGAGCCGGCTCAGTGGTTAAGAGCACTGACTTCTCTTGCAGAGGACCCAGGTTCAATTCCCAGTACCCCCATGGCAGCTAACAACTGTCTGTAACTCCAGTTCCAGGGGATCTGACACCTTCTTTTGACCTCTGAGGGCACTGCAAGACACTGGTGCTCTCTTACACATGCAGACGATACACATGCACATATAGAATCAAAATAATAAATAGAATGTTTTCTCTCTCTTTCTTTCTTTCTTTCTTTCTTTCTTTCTTTCTTTCTTTCTTTCTTTCTTTCTTTCTTTCTTTTTTAAATAAAGTTTTGCCAGGTTAGTTAGAAACAAAGCAACTGGTAATTATGGGCTAGCTAGCTTCTGGCCTGGGGATCCTGAGAGCCCTTCCTGCTGCCAGGTGACCCTGCAGGACTCAGGACTCAGCCTAGAGTCATAGTCATTGTTAGGCTTCATAACAGTGCACAGATTTAAAGCAGAATCCACCAACATAAGCTGAGCTGCCAGTGGCCTCAGCAGGACACTCCTCTAGAGGGGGGCTGCCATGGCCTGTGAAACGTCTACCAAGAAGTGCCTTAGAGACTCAGTGCCGAGCACTTCCATTGGAAGGAGGTTACATAGTCATTCTTTGCTGACAATGTACCAAAATTCTAGACTTTCAGAAAGAAAATAAATGCTTGAAATCACATTGCGGTTCTGTGCAGAGTCCCACGTCAGTGTGTGAGGGCACCAGGAAACCTCTCAAGTCACGTTCTCAGATGTCAGCCTGACGAGCAGGTCAGTGTAAGTCCTGCAATCCCTTGTTTTCTTTTTCTTTTTTGAAGTATGATTCATAAAATGTAATTCCCTCAAAGTACATGCCAGTAGTTTTTAGTTTATTCAACAAATGTACATTCATCACTACGATTATAGAAATTCATCACCTTAAAAGAAAAACAACCTGTACCCTTGACTGTCACTCCTCCCAGCCCAACAACCCCCATTTGCCTCTCCAATCCTAAGAAACTAATTATGTATCCATTTGTCTCTGTAGATTTCCCAGTCTAGGCATTTCATGTGAATGGATCATATAATATATGGCCTTTGGTGTCTGGCTTCTTTCACTCAGCTTGTTTTCAGTGTTTATCCATGTAGTATGTTACAATATTTCATTCCTTTTTATGGCTGAGTAATACTCCATCGTATGAGCACACATCATATTTTGTTTATCTATTTACCCATCAGTTGATAAAATTTAGATTGTTTGACTCTTGTGGGTTCTGTTCTGAGGGTTGAACTCGTGGTCAGGTTTGGGGCAAGCGCCTGTCTGTACTGAGCCATCTAATGGCCTTCATTCCCTCTCTTACAGTGCTCACATTACCCGGGTTTCTGGTTCTATTGACCTGAGGAGTATAGGCTCCTAAGTCAGTCCTGGTTATGTGCCCTGCAGCAGGGTGAAGACCAGGCTCTTAGTGTGTGTTGGAGCTGATTGTAGGGAGTAAGGTGGGTTTGTAGAGGCTTCCATGATGGAATTTTGGGAATTGATTCTGAAAAGGACCTTCCTGTCAACCTGCCTACAGATGTGATACTCTAGAACACTCTATGTTGCGGGGATGAGGACAGAGCAACTTTCCTTGTCTAATCCTTAGGTTTAAGCTAGAGGGAAGGAGTCGAGAACACATAACGTATTTGACAACGTCGGAATGGAAGGCACCGCATATTTAAAGTCTCTGTCTGTCCCTCACAGAGCTCAGTCCCTAAACAGGAGTAATTGTTTCAAACATCTTAGGTCACTTGGTGCCAAATAAGTTTGGTTGAAAGAATACAATATTAAGAAAACTCTTTCATTAAAAATTTACAGGCTAACGGAGATAGCTTAATGATCAGATGCTTGTTGTGCAAGTTTGGAGACCTTAGTTTGAATCCCTAGAACCCATGCAACAGCTGGCTGTGCAGCTCAAGTGTCAGTAACACCACATGCCCATGGAGGGAGGAGGTGGAGACAGAGCAGCCCCAGAAGCCCACAGGCCAGCCAGCCTGGGCGCCGGCAAACAACCGAGACCCTCCCTCAAGCAAGGATGACACTGGAGGTTGTCTTCTGACCTGCACACGTGCATCGTGGCATGCACGTGCACACATTCACACCCACAAATAAAATTCAAAGATAAAAGATATGAATTCACTACCAATAAAGAGCCTCCTTAATGTTGTTTTTACATGGCTGTTTGTTTTTTAAATATTTAACCTCATTAAGCAGAGTTGTTACTGTTATCCTCACGTGAGAGGAGCAAGCTTTGACCCTGGGATGGTGGGCAGCTGATAGGTGGGTGTGGAAGCAGGGCTGCTGACTGGTTCTGTAGATGCCGCGCTTTGCTTCTTTAGCCAGCAGCGCTGTTACCCTAGTGGTGGGGATCAGCGCTGCCAGACTGATCATTCGCTCATCCTTTTGTGCTGTGAAGGTGGAATTCAGGGACTCTCACCACACTTTGTAAGATGCTGTGTGGTGTCTCTTTCCTGCCATCCCTTCTCATCTGTGTTCCTCCTTGTTAGTATTTCTCCTGTTGCACTGGGCCTCTTCTGTTCCACCATCATAGCACATGTGCTCTGGGACCGTCTCTGAAGGTCCTGTCCTCGGGGTCTTCCCTCCCTCACATGCCATCTTCTTATATTTTTGTTTTGATTTTTGCTTTTGTTCTTTGAGTTTTTTGTTGTTTGTTTGTTTTGAAACAGGGTCTCCCTGGCCTGAAACTTGCAACGTAGACCAGGCTGGCCTCTGTCTCACAGATACCCACTTGCCTCTGTCTCCCAAGTGCTGGGATTAAAGGTGTGCACCACACCTGCCAAAAACCTTCCTGAGCCGTTGGTGACTGCCTTACTGGGAATGTGAAGGCCCTTCCTCCTGCTTCCTCACTCTTCGCCTGCTCCTGCTCAGCACATAGCCCTTCTCGTAGACGCTCAGCTCACCATGTTGCTGTGTTATGAGCTATTGTCTGAACCTTCCTTGTTACATTCTAGTGTTTGGTCCAGTATACAGCTCAGAATTTTTTGAATGAAAAAAATACAAGAAGGAAATTCGGTTGATTCATCAAAACATTCATTGTGAATACTCGTTTTTAATTCAAAAGCTTGACATTTAAAGTTCATTAAAACAGGGGCATGCATTTGTGACAAAAGATACTTATTTTACTACTAAGATTTTATTATAGTTTTCAGCTATGCTTATCAATTTACATAAAATCCAACTTTCTTGGAAAAATATCCAGTTTATCAGCTAATATATAGGTGAGGTTGTACATCTGGTTGTTCAATAATGCAATTTAACATTGGCAGCCATAGAATGTGACCTGTGTTAGTTTTCTCTTGCTGTGAAAAAACATCATGACCAAGGCAACTTACACAAGACATTATTGGGCTTACAGTTCCGGAGGGATTAGAGTCCATCATGGCGGGGAGGCATGATGTGTCCTGAGCAGAAAGCTAGAGCTCACATCCTCTAGCAGGCAGCCAGACTGGAAGTGGGATGACGCCATATACTCTCATAATCTGCTCCCAGTGACAGGCTGCAGCAAGGCCATACGAAAGGTTTTGTGACCCTCCCCAGATAGCGCCACCAGCTGGGGACCAGATGTTCAAATACTTGAACCTATATGGGACATTTCTCATTTAAACCACCAGCGATCTAATTTTTAGGTTTTTTTTTTTTTTTTTTTTTTTTAATAGACTATTTCCTTAAGAAACCTTCCTTTGGACATTGCAGTCTTGGGATAAAGATTAATTTTATAGCAGCATTAGACTTTTAAAAAATCTAAATGTTGAAATGTTTTAATTTTTATATTCAGAATGTTATCCTAATCCTTTTTATGATAAGTTGCAATTCTTCATTCAGTGATTGAATTAATGAGTTAAGTGAGAAACTGATGTTCTGATGAACTTTTATTTAAACACCTTTTTCTTTTTTTTTAGATTGCTTTGAGGTCACCCTGATACCGGATATGGAGTTGCCTTTGATGGCTTCACCTGGGACAGAGAAAAACGACTTTCTTATTAGAAAAGCATAAGGAAAACAGATGACCAGAGGAGTTGCACAGATGCCAGCTCCACGCTGTCTCCTTCTATGTATTTTTTTTAACTCATCAAGACAAATGACTTACACGTTAAAGAAAATGATTCATCATATTATTTTTAGCAGTTAAATTATTTTTCATTGATGTGTACAGCTGTCCTATGAAATTGAACACGTATAAGAATCTGTAAAGCCTTGTTTAAATACTTCTTTTTTGCACTCAGAACTTCATTATCAATTTTACTTATCAAAGTCCTCAAAACTTTATAACATTAGGATAGCTGTGGACTTGGAAATGCGCATTCCTACCACAGGCTACAGTGAAAATGAATGGACAACTCAAGGCATCACCCATCTTGTCATCCTAAATACCACGTAAGGATATCGCTTAGCTGTAATGCCAATGAGGGTGCTCGAGAATGGCCTGGGTAAAGTTCTTGCGGAAACCTGGTGGTAACCTCGGAAAAGCTTATCAAGCTGGAAGCATGCTGTCCCTAGCCCCTACTATAGGCTTGTTGAACGAACCAGGCCAGAACAGTTGCTTTCTCAACAGTGCTGTGCAGGTGAGGCCATGATAACTACGTTTTGTAAAGAGCTTTTAAGGAAACCACTTGTCTAATGATTCTCTGACTCCTCAGTTAAGAGGGAGGTTATTGCCAGGCATGGTGGCTCAGACCTTTAATCCCAGCACTCAGAAGACAGAGACAGAGGCAGGTGAATCTCTGTGAGTTTGAGACTAGATACCTAGTTCTAGATCATTCAGGGCTACATAGTGAGACCCTGTCTCAAAAAAAAGTTATTGACTAGAATTTCTGTGTGTGTGTCGGGGGGGTATGTGTTTGTTGTGAGTGCATGTTCACTTGTGTGCATTGCAGGGAGGCAGAAGTTAACTTTCTTTCTTTAGTCCACTTTATTTTTTGAGACATATTCTGTCCCTGAGCCCATTGCTTAGAATTCAGTGAGGCTGGCCGACTGGCCAGTGAGCTCATGGGAGGAACCACCTATCTCCCTTCCCGCCTCCCGGCACCTAGATTACAGACACATGCTGGCATGCCTGATTTTTTTTTTTTACACATTTGCTGTGGATCCGAACTCAGGTCCTCCTGTTTGTTGGGCAAGCAGTTTACCAACTGAGCCATCTGCCTAGCTATGAAAGGGCTTTTGTAGTATTACTTTTTTTTTTTTGGTCTTTTTGAGACAGGGTCTCCCTGTAGCCCCAGCTGTCCTGGAACTCACTATGTAGACCAGGCTGGCCTTGAACTCACAGAGATCCGCCTGCCTCTGCCTCCCAAATGCTGGGATTAAAGGTGTGTGCCACCACGCCTGGCTTAGTATTACTTTTAATGGGACAAAAGAAATTTTGGCTAGGCATTTTGGCTTTTATAATAAATGGGAATCTTTTCAACAGAATGATAGATTGTTCTATTATAAAGAGCATTGCTTTAATCCCAGCACTTGGGAGGCAGAGGCAGGTGGATCTCTCTGAGTTCAAGGCCAGCCTGGTCTACATAGTGAGTTCCAGGACAGCTGGGGCTACAGGGAGACCCTATCTCAAAAAGACCAAAAAAAAAAAAAAAAAGTTTAATAAATTAAGAATGCTTTAAAAATAACCAGTCGTTTTAGTTAGCAAATACTCTCCTGTATCCTCTTTTTTATTTTTATTTTATGCGTATGAGTATATTGCCTATGTGTGTAAGTGTACCTGTGTTATGCAAAGCCTGTGGAGGTCAGAAGAGGGCGTCAGATCCCCTGGAACTGAAGTTACAGATGGTTGTTAGCCAATATGTGGGTGCTAGGATTCGAACCTGGGGCTTTTGCAAGAACAGCCAGTGCACTTAACCTCTCACCACTGAGTCATCTCTCCAGCCCCCTCCCCGCCATCCTCTTTTTTAAGAGAAATCTAGAAATCTAGATCCCAGTAGATAAGATAAAAAGAAAACCCTTGGGTTGGAATGAGAGTGCTGTTACTTTACCTGGGTATCCCAGCCCTCACCTCCACAGTGATCCTTAAGTCACCTCTAGAGTTACAGTGTGAGCATCTCTGTTTTATACAAATTGAAGATGAATCCATTTATTTCAAACCTTTTCGATAGTTTTTAATAAATGTATACTGAACTACCTTTCTATTTTAAATAGCCTTTCTATGTATAATACGGCTTTTACTTGCCAGTTTCATATTTTTATTCTGAAAAGCTAATAGTGCACAAAGATATTTAGTTTGTTTAATAAACAAACACATGTACAATGTGTTGAGTGCTTTGACATCTGAATCCTCTGTTCCCGGTTGACCTCTACCTGGGACAGATGTCACACTTAAGTTCTTTAACTCACCCAGAGAAAGGAGCCCAGCTGGCATGAGGATTCTAGTTCCCTTTGAGACCTTAAGTGTCAGTCGGTGTTCTGCCTGGGGCAGAGATTCCGTTGCCATCGTAAGAGCAAAGAGGAGAATACTTACTGGATGGCACTGCATGTAAGGAAATGTAAGCACAGAATGCTTTGATTGGGTCGGGCTGTCGTGTCAGAAGGTTTACCGTTTTCTGCTTTGGTGTTTTCTCTTCTCTTTAGCTCCCACAATTCTAAATAAATCTTTTAGGAGATGAAAGTGTACTAGAACAAAAATTTCTGAGCAAGGAAGCTTTCGTAGTAGAGAAAGTGGAAATATTCTGGTGGTGATATATTTTCAGTGGCCATTCCACAGCACACATTGCAGAGAGGGCTGTAGAGTCCTCAGCACGAGTCTGCACAGGACCCCTCCAGGTGCTCCAGTAAGTACTGATGGAGCCATCTCGGGCCACAAAGACTGCTTTTCTCCACGTTTGTTTCCGGTGCTTCTTCCTTCCTCAGATGGACCCACCTTTCAATGCAGTGTCATCTTCTGCGTGCAGGACCTGTACGAACATGTTAGAGTGGCGGCCTTGCACTGGTGGATTGTTCTAGCTTTTTCATGTCTGAGAAAACTTGATGTCATTTTTTTGTGTTTGAAAGATACTTTCATGCATTAAAGTTGGGTATAGTAGTGCATGATGCCTTCTTCTGAGCTCTGGGAGTGGAGGCGGGATCAGGAGCTCAAGGCCAGCCTTAGCTGCATGGCTGGATCTTTGTTTTTCTGTGTTTAGCTCACATTATTTCCAATGGAAACCTGTTATTCTGATCTTTAGTGTTCTATGTGTGTTGAGTCTTTTTCAGTGGCTACGTACTTCTAAGATTTTTTTCCTTTCCACTGATTTAAAACAATTAAGTGTCTTGGCATGGTTTTCTTCATGTCACTTGTGCTGGGGTTTGCCGAATCTCTTGAGTCTGTCCGTTTATATTTTTAATCACATTTAGAACTCATTGGCTGTAAATCGTTTAGACAGCTGTCCTGTCTGTTCCTCCTTTGGAATACTGCAGTTACGTTGATGCTCTCTTTATAGTCTTTTCAATCCTCTATTTCGTTATTTGTGTTTATTTTTGTACTTTAAGTCTTTATCTCTGATCTGCTCTTGTTCATTTTCAATGATTTCATATTAGACATTGTGGCTTTCATTGATAGATACTTGTACTTGTCTACTAATTTTGTCCTTTTTATGAAATTTTGGATTTCTACATTTTTCCCCCTCTTTGCATTCTGGGAGAGGTGTGTGTGTGTGTGTGTGTGTGTGTGTGTGTGTGTGTGTGTGTGTGTGTGTGTGTTTCCTTTATTGCCCACTAATTTCTTACTGGCTGTCACAGAAGTTTCATCTTGCCAGGTTATAGATAATTTTGGAACCCTAAAAATAATCAGAATTTTATTTGGGGGCCGTATTAATTTAGTTGGAAATAGTCTGGTCATTTTGCTCTTCAGCTTTCTTGGGCAGGGAGAGTTTTGTTTACTACTAAGTGTCTTTTCACACACTTTTCTTTTTTCAGCCAGTGGTCTGTGAAATGGGAAGTTTTCCACTTGGCTGTTGAAACTACGTCAGGTTTTGGGCCTGTGGGTGCTCTGGGCATGAGTTCCTCTTTCAGGTGCTTCGTTCTCTAGTCTGAGATGGTTTCCTCATGGTTCTTTCTGGAAAACTGGGAGGGGGTCCTGTGCAGATTCATGGTGAGAACCCTGCAGTGCTCTCCCTACCAACCTGCAGCTTGAGAGCACCTGTAGGCTTCCAAAGTTTAGATGTCTCTATAGGCTAATTTGCAAAGCCAGTTCTCCCTGAAAAAACAGCTATTCAAATAGACTTTTGTCAGAAAATGTCTTGTTAATAAGGTATTTCATGAATAGTTTAAAAACCTGCTCAGAAATGAATTGTGGAATTCATCTAGTAAGACCTTACTAATTTCAAAAGCAGATACAAAAGGGTATGGCTCCAAAGTGAGTCAGAAAATGAATTTATAAGCCACTTCTCATTATTCAGACTTCAGTGTATTTTCACAGTGTTTTAAAGTGGGGAATATGATCAAAAGTTTATATTCCTTTACTACATGTATGATTACATACACTAATTTGAGAGGAATAATTAAATTGCATGTATATTTTGAAAAACAGCATTAAGTTTTGTTGGGACTCATGTTAAATTGCTATCTGCAATAATGAAAAAGGAGTATATGTTGCTAAAGCCATTGGTTCAACATTTAGCTGAGACTTATTTTTTTAACAGGTGGTTGGTAGACTATAATCATTTTAAATGAAATACGATAAGGGTAAATTGTAATTATTTAGTGATAGAGATTGTTTTAAAAGGCTTTATACTACTGGGTGGAATAATATATACAGAACATTTTAAATATATTTAATTTTTTGGAAAATTCCATACATGTTTATACTCTATTTTGATCCTATCCACTCCCTGCTACCTTCCTCCAACTCCCGTGGAACTCCCCAGATCATCTCCCTCCCAGCTTCATGTCCTCTTTTATCATTATTATTATTGGTAGTGGTGGGGTGGTGGTGGTGACAACACCCTGGGTGTAGTTATTGTGGACCATGTGACCATATGTGCATGGGTTGAGACCATTCACTGTGGTAGAATAACTTACCAAAGGCCACATCCCCAAAGCAAAGTGACTGTCTCTCAGCAGCTGTCAACAGTCAATGGTTCCTCTGCTGGAGGTGGGGCCCCAGTAGCGAACCCTATTAATGCTGGAATTTTAACTGACTTGATCTCATGTAGACAACCACAGTTGCTATGAGTTGCTATGTGCAGTAACCATGTTATGTTCAGAAAACAGCATTTCATGGCTGTCCTCCCTGTCCTCTGGCTCTACATTCGTTCTCCCTACTCTTCTGCAATGTTCCCTGAGTCTTGGATGTGAGAAGGTTGATATTAATGACACATCTATGGCTGACCCTTAATAATCACTTATTCTCAGCACTTTGACCAGTAACCATTGTCCATTACAAAAAGCGTCTTTGTCCCAGGTTGAAAGCAGGACTAAGGAGTGAAGCAACAGTAGGGTCCCCCCTAGGGTCTGTGATCTCAGACTGGTCTATAAGCCCAGTCCATGGGCTTTTGATCAGCTTTACAGTCCCAGACATGTGGAGCAGGCCTCTTACCCAACTGTAAAGTAGTTGTTTATCCCATAACCATCATGCTACTATTGCATCAGTGGGCACATCTTGCCAGACAGTGTCAGTATTGTAGTGTGCAGAGTCCAGCACTGGGTAAGACCATTGATATTTTTCTCTGCCAGCAGCTGCATACCACTTCCAGCACTGTGAAGTCTAGCCAACAGGACGAGAGTTTCCTGGTCGGTTGAGATTGATTTCCCTATGTCCTGCAACTGAAGTGAATAGTGTCTGTAGCACTAGGGTCTCATCTAGTTACGGCGGGCAAACAAGCAATAGCAAATAGCCACTGTTGTTCAGGGTCCCTCTGGGGCACTAAAACCTGCACACCCCTCACTTCCCCATCCCTGCCCCCCAGTGTTCCCACTCTCTGCTTTTGTTTTACTATCTCCCCTCCCTTAATATACAGAGAAAATTTTAAAATCACATAAAACACGTTTTCTGTATCTTTATCCAGTATCATTAATTTTTTTTTCAGTAGTCCCATTAAACATTACAATTGGTTCTGACCAATAACTGATAGGGAGAGGCCCTGTACCTGGCATTAAGATTTTCATTTGTTAACTCAGGTCCTCTGAGAACAGCATTGTCTAGCCATGCAGGATACCTCTGTTCAAACTCAAAAATGTATTTTTAATATTCGCTTACAAACTAGTGGGTTTCCATAAGGCTTCTTCATACATCCTTCGTTTTACTAACAACATCCCCACCCCTCTTACCTACTTAAGTCTTTAACCCTGAGTGTCTGTACCCTCGTTCTTTGTGTTAGCTGTGTTCTATCCCCTCTAATTACATTCTCACTTGGTTTACAATATGGTAGGTTTTCATACAGTTTTTCGTATACCGTTTTGGTTAAGCCTTCCCCAGCACCCTCATTTCCCTGTTCCTACCCCTTCCATGTTTGAACCTATTCTCATTGTATGTATATTTACTATCTCTCCTCCCTTAATTTACAGAGAGATTCTTAAAAATCACATAGAGCCCTTCCTGTAGCTTTTTCTAGTATAATTAGTAACTCCATTGCAATTAAATTTGAAAGACTTCATTAACTATATGAAGAGATTCTCGAGCATGTCCTATTAGTTGAATATTGACAAAACACAGTTAAAGCAAGTTTGGCTTATTAGTGTGCTGCTAAATTCTTTGAGTTAGAAGCAAAGTTATATTTAATAACACGTGCTATGTTCTTACTAGGTAGTAAACACTTGCCTGACCATTGCATTATGTCATCTCATTTACTCTTGCTGGACGTAAGTGCTACTGGGCTGGAGAGCTGGCAAGCTGTCATAGCCATTAAAGGCTCAGGCTTATAACCAAAAAGACAGGAGACCAGTGCTATAGGAAACATTTTGTCAAGTAGGTTGAAGAGTTAAACAGTAAAACTGGAACCAGGACCCAGATCGTCTGCCTTCAGAGCTGGTGGTGGTAGATATTCTGCTGTCATTGATCTGCATCTTCTTAGTTGAGTCCTTTGAAAATAGATTTCAATCTTGTATTTTTATGGTATGTTAAGGATGATGCAGAAGAAAGTTATTGAACACTAATGATTTCTTTGCAAAACACCATCAATTTGTTCTTACTAATCTTTCACTAAAATCTTGTTGAGATTTGACGTTGAGAGAAATGAGGTATTTTAAATGGCTTTTCTGGGTTTTTATTATTTGAAGAAATTACTCAAATAGAGGGAAACTTGACAAGCTTGTTTGTGATAATTGCTTGTATGCCAGTCAGGTGCCAGGCCCTGCGCTCCACTTTTTGCATTCTGTATGTTTAATCCTCACAAGAACTTTGTGAGACTGGAACTGTTACACCATTGTGTAGAATTCAGGTTTTACAGGATGATTTTTGGGTACTGGACCAGTTCATTTCAGCATTTATGCTTTTTGTTGTTTGTTTTTATCTTAGTAGCAGGTGATTAAAGAATAATTGCAGGAAATATAATCAGATTGTCCTTAACTTCCACATCTACCATGCTGTACCCCATTATCCCACAGACACCTCCGTTCCCATTCAGTATGCAGCGACCACACACATCTCTGGTTACTCTTTCTTCTTGCAGAGACACTCTGGCTGCTATTTATACCCTTTAGCTTTAAGTCTAATTATATTTCCTTCCTATATTTCCGTGTGTTCCAAGTAGTAAAATCCCTTCCTCTTTCATGTCTTCGCCTGGTCCTCCATAGTGTTCGCGTCAAATCCTTAACCAAGGACTCGGGTTTTTGGTTTTGGGGGTTTTTTTTGTTTTGTTTTGTTTCTTCTCCATGCTTGTCATAGTTCTTCGTTTCAGTCAGTGAGAGCATCTTTGCTTTTCATTTCTGTGTGGCATGTGGTGGTGCTTCCCATTGGTTCTAGTGATTATGCACATGTGGTTATGTACAGGACAGTAAAAGACGATAATTAATTCACGTTTTGCTGCTTTTAAAATGTAAAAACACACCCTTTTCATAGTGAAACCAATCTCATTCTGTTTCTCTTTCTCATTTTTTAAGGTTTTATGGCAGTTAGATATATTTCGACGAAGCTTGCGAGTTCTGACTGGCCATGTTTGTCAAGGAGATGCCTGTATATTTTGTGCACTGAAGGTAACTACTTAATAATTACTGTCAGTTGTTTCTCCAAAAACTTAATTTTGATAATTGTCATAGTTATTCAGTTTGTTGTGATTGAAGTTCATTGTCAAGTGATTTGTAGTTTTGAAGAGGAATGCTTAAAATGTGACTTAGTCTTTTTCTACATTTATATTAGAAGAATTAAAAGCTAATACTTTAAGGAATGTGAAACTGTTGAGAATATCATTTCATTACTTTGAAATCATTGGGGTTTTTTAATTTTAAAAAATTTTCTTTCGATCTTTTTGAAAAAAGGTCTTCCTGTAGCTTCAGCTGGCCCAGAGCTCCCTGTATAGACCAGGCTGGACTTGAACTCAGGGAGATCTGCCTGCCTCTTGAGTGCTGAGATTAAAGGCATGCACCACCATGCCCTGCTTTGTTCATTCATTTTATGGATGTGTTTTGAGCCTCTACTGAGTTCTAGGTACTGCTCTTATTACCATGGATAGTAGAGTGAGCATAACCCATAACAACCCTGCTTTTCCCAGCACTTAGGGAAATCCACCTGCTGAGGCAGGTGGATTGCGTGTTGAAGGCCAACCCTGAGCTACATAGTGAGACCCTGTTACTACAAATAACAAAACCTATTCTCATGGAGCTTATATTGTCTTGTAGAGAAGGAGATGATACATAAGCCGAATACAAGAGTACGTTGTATGGTAATAGTGCCATGAATGGCTGAGAAAGGGATGTTAACCAGGGAGAGAGTAGGAGATACTGAGTAGTCAGGAGAAAAAACTTGTGAAGAAATTGATATTTGACATGACCAGAAAAGTTGTTGGCAGTCACTGAAAGGGCCTTGTGGGAGGAGAATCTTCCAGGCAGACATAGAAACAACTTCAAAGGCTTGTTCAAGGAACACCAAAGAAGCCTGGGTGCCAGAAGCGCTGTGAGCAAAGGAGAGAGGTCAGCGCCACGCCTCAGAGGTATGTAACAGAAGAGGGAGGGACAGGCAGTGAGTAAGAGTGCTTGCTCTGCAAGCTTCAGGACTTAGGTCAGTAAAAGCCGGACGTAGTCCCGTGCAGCTTTAGCCTCAGTACTGAGGGTTGTGGGTGGGGAGATAGAGGATTGCTGGGGCTTCTGGGCCAGCCAGCCTACCTTAAAGACAGTCCATGTCTGAAGGGGATAAGGTGGAGAGCCATAGAGAAAGATGGCCACAGTTCTCCTGCGACCTCTATCCATGTGTGGGCATGTGCACCTTGACACACATGTACACCTGCATGTGCACACAGACATACATGTCTGTGGGTTATCTCACATTCTTCATATCCAAGGTAGTTTCTCGAACATGGACTAGCCTCAAGACTGATTTCTGTAAAGTAGGATGTGACGGAACTGGTTCTGTAAGATAGCTGATGTTAGATCAGATTAGCCTATGTGATACAGCCCCTATCCTGCCCCGTCTCCCGGAGTGCTCATTCTTGGAAGAAAACCACCATGCTCTGAGGAAAGCAGGCAGCCGTTGGAAAGGCCAGAAGCAGGGTTCTGGATGTAGTTGTGGCAGAGGTCTCAGGCAGCTATCCATCAGCTGGTAGACATGGGTGAATGGCCCTCAGGTGACTCTTAATCCCAACATTCACAGTGCCCCAAAGAAGTCCATGTGGATCAGGCATGAGGCTTTTTACCCAAATTGTGGATTCATGATCAAATTAAGAGTGTATTCCAGTAACTTAAGTTTTGGGGTAGTTTGTTACAGGGCAGTAAATACCTGAGATAGTTGTTCAGATTGTGTAGGGCTTACAACTTTTGTGTTTTTTGTGTAAGTCATTTAGGAAGTTTGGGGTTGTTTGGAGTAGAGGAGTGTATAATCTCTTTGAACTAGATCCTTTTGTCTGCTGAGACAAGCATAAACGGAAGAGATGAAGGCAGAAACAGGAAGTCCAGTATCTATTAGCAACTCAGTTTTGTCATTTAAAACTCCTAGGCCCAAGAATTTAAAGGTTTTTTTTTTTTAGCACATTTTATAGATGAATGCTTTTATTTATTGTCTTCAGTACTCCTAATGAACATATATATGAAGACTTAAAAATACATTTATATGTGTTCATTTCTTTATGTTCTTAAAAAGACTTTCATCATCAAAAGAAGAAATGTTATAGTCTCTCTTTTTCAAACATGGTGCTGTTGTTAGAGAACAAAGAATGAATCTAGATCAGATTATAATATCACACTTTATCCAAAGTAAATTTTGAGTATTTGGCCATACCCTAGATTGCTTCTCTGTTGTGTAAAGCACCGTGACTAAAAGCAGCTGAGGAGGAAAGGGTTTATTCAGTCTTATGCTTCCACATAACAGTTCACCACTGCAGGAAACCAGGGCAGGAACTCAGTGTAGGAACCTGGAGGCAGGAACTGAAGCAGAGTCCATGAGGAACACTTACTGGCTGCCTCCCAGGCTCATGGTCAGCTACCTTCTTACACAGCCCAGGCCCACCTGCCTAAGGATGACACCGCCCACAGTGCACTGGGCCCTCCAGTATCCATTAGCAATCTAGAAAATGCTTCACAGACATGGCCACAGGCCAGTCTTCAGTTGGAATTTCCTCTTCCCAGGTGTGTTAGCTTGACAACTGACAGTAGCCATCACAGTTCAATTGTAAAAACTAGAGTTGTTCTGTGTCTTGACCCAGGTCTTTTTAACTCTCATCGGGTTCCTTCTGTTTGAACTTCCTTTGTCCCCACCAAGCCCCTACTCCTTATACGTGACATATATTATATGTGCTCTGTTTCTCACAGCTGGCTTCCTGTTCATTTTTTTTTTCCTGTTACTATTTTTGCATTTCATATGTATGTATATATATATTGGTGGGAGGGAGGCAGCAAACATGCAGAGGTCAGAGGACTACATGCAGGAGTCCGTTGACTCCTGCTTTGTAGGTTCCAGGATTCAAAGTCAAGTCTTCAAGCCTGGCATCAAGCACCTTTGCCCCAGCATCTTCCCTTTCTTATTTTTTGTCTGGAATGGTCTTCTCCCTAATGTCCTTATAGCTAACACACATAATTCCTTTATGCCTCTTTAAATGTTCCTTTTCTATCAGTGAGGCCTTCTCCTACTACCCTAGGTAAAAACAAAACTATCCCTCACCCTTGATTTCCTCATCGCACCACACTGCCTTATCCTTCTTAATATGCATTTCTTTATTTTTATTTTTATTTAACCCATTCATAAACATGCTCACACACGCTCTGAGAGAGCACACACAAGCATGTATGTGTACACACATGTATGCACTTTTCCCCTTGTTATATAACTAGAATGTAAGGACTATGTAGGAAGGATTTTCTGTTTTCTAGCATAGATCAGTGCCTCACATCCTAGACAAGGAAAAGAAATATGCCACATGGATGATAATAGTCTTGTATAGGACCAGTGTCTTTTTAAAAAAAAAATTTATTTTTATTTTATATGTATGAGTGTATTGCCTGCATGTAGGTAAGTGCACCCGTGTCATGCAGTGTCCACTCAGAAGAGGCTGTTGGATCCCCTGGAACTGGAGTTACGGACAATTGTTAGCTGCCATGTGGATGCTGGGATTCGAACTCGGGTCTTCTGCAAGAACAACCAGTGTTCTTAAGCGCTGAACCATCTCTCCAGCCCAGGAGCACTGTCTTAAACATTGCCTGGAAAAGTTAATTGCCTAAATGAGAGAGGAAATCTGGAAATCATTATTCGTCTTTCAGTAGTCACAGTTTTAGCTATTCACTGGGTAAAAATTATACTTCTGCTATCTAGTATCACTTGACTTTTTTTTCCTTTGCCATGCTAGAACATTGGGAACCTTTTTATTTTTGTCAATTTCATATGTGTATATAACATACTTTGGTAATTTTCCCCCATTCCTCTCTCCTCTCATTCTTCCTGAATCTTCTCTTTCTAATAAGCCCTGCTCCCGTTTTCATGTTCTGTGTGTCCCACTCAGTTTAATTAGGATTGTCTGCATGGGCATGCATGGGCCTGTTTACTACAGCATGGGCCACTTCCTAGTGGCTACAGCAGCTGAAGAACATTACTCCCTTCGCCAGCAGCCATTAAGCACCAAGAACTCCTTCCCAATCCATGATGGAAGGTTGATGGGCCCAAACGTGTGCTGGTCTTATGGTAGCCGCAGCTTCTGTGAGTTCATGAGTACAGTAGCCATGTCATGTTCAGAAGATAGTCCTTCAAAGCACTCTTTCCATTCCCCAGCTCTTCTGCCCCCTCTTCTGCAGTGTTCTCTCAGCCTTGGAGGGGATCGTATGGATGTTCCATTAAGAGCTAAGTACTCACCAGTCACTCATTCTAAGCGCTTTGGCCAGTTATGAATCTCTATTAACTCTCTGTCCCAGGCTGAGAGCAGTTTGATACCATGTCCACTTAACAAAACAGCAGCACTACATTCCCCACTAGGGCCTGTGACCTCCCCAGCCACTGACTGTTGACCAGGTTTGCAGAGTGCGTAAGTTTGATCCTATGGAGCAGGCCTCAAATCCTACCAGAAAATAGTTGGTTACCCCCATGGTTGTCATGCCAATATTGCACCTGTGGGCATGTATTGCCTAGTAGGTTGTTTTATAGCTTGCAGTGTTCACCCTAGGTAAGACTGGTGATGGATTTTCTCCCTGCTCAGCCTACATAGCACTTTCTGGCACTGTGAAAGCTAGCCAGCAGGGACGACCCTTCCAGCTCAGCTCCATCTTGATCTTTCTATCTTGTAACTAAAGTGTGTGATATCTTCAGCAGTACGCTATTACCATCTAGTTCTGGCAACCAACCAAAGCAGTGTCAGTAGTCTGGATTTTTCTGGGGCCTCCCTGACCAGTTAGTTCTTAGAGACCTGATATGGGCTTTTGTTTCATAGCCTATGGCTTTTGAAAAAAATTATAAATTATATATATAAATATATTTAAAGTATATATATGTATATACATATATAAAATATGTATATGTATATGTCTTTTTGAGACAGGGTCTCCCTGTAGCCCCAGCTGGCCTGGAACTCAGTATGTAGACCAGGTTGACCTTTAACTCACAGAGCTCTGCCTGCCTCTGCCTCCTCAGTGTTAGGATCAAAGGCTTACACTACAATGCCTGGCTTAAATTGTAGTTTTTAATGAGTTTATAAAATGGGCTTCCACATGACTGTTTTTACAACTTTAGTTTTAGTTAGCCCTCCCCTTTTAAATTTCTTTCTTTTTTTTTTTTTTTTTTTTTTTTTTTTTTTTTTTTTTTTTGAAATGTTTCCTGCCTTCCAATACGTTGGTCTTAAAAGTTTTGTTTTGGGGCTAGAGAGATGACTCAGCAGTTAAGAGTACTGATTGTTCTTGGAGAAGATCTGGGTTCGAATCCCAGCACCCACACGGCAGCTAACAACCATCTGTAACTTGAGTTCCATGGGATCCAAGACCCTCTTCTGTCCTCCATGGGCATTGCACGACACAGGTGCACTTACATACATGCAGATAATACACACACACACACACACAAAATAATAAATTTTAAAAAAGTTTTGAATGACGCAACCTCTTGAACTAATGAATTTGATCAGTTCTTATTTGGTGGGTGTTTTTAAACTTTTTTCCTCCTATGAGTTGATTATCATAAAACTGGAACCTATTAAAATAGTCAGGCGTGGTGGCGCACACCTTTAATCCGCGCACTCAGGAGGCAGAGGCAGGCAGATCACTAAGTTCAAGGCCGGCCTGGTCTACATAGTGAGTTCAGGACAGCTGGGGCTACAGGGAGACTCTGTCTCAAAAAGACATACATATATATATATATAATATATATATATATATATTTGTTTAACTGCAATAAGGAATATAGAAAATGTTGATACCTAGAGTCTCATGCTCCTGAGTGATGTTTTAATGGATTCTCAGAAAAATATTCCTCTGAGGAAAATTGATAACTTGTAGGGGAGGTTCTTCAGAAACTAAAGGTGGTCCCTAGCTCTTCTTTGAGTCTTCTTACAAAGAGCACATTTGCATTGTAAAAGCAAATTTAGGATCACAGTGGGAAATTGTTCTATAAAAGTTACTACAACTTTTTTTTTTTTTTTTTGAGATAGCATCTTACTGTGTAGTGCTGGATGTCCTGGAACTCACTATGTAGATCAGGCTGGCTTCAAACTCTACAGCCATATCCCTACCTCTACCTCTGGAATGCTGAGATTAAAGGTGTGCCCCACCAGGTCCTGCTAACTTTTGTTTAAATCAGTTTCTCATTCTCTGAGGATTATTATGTAAGACCCTATGAGAAGTTTATGTAGGTTAACTTTTTTTAATAAAAAGATTTATTTTTTAACTATATTGTGGATATGGGCATGTGTCCCCGACTGCAAGTGTCCAAGGAGGCCAGGGGAATCAGATCTTCCTGGTGCTAGAGTTACAGGTGGTTCTGAGCCACCTGATGTGGGGGCTGGAAACGGAGCTCCCTGCCTCTGCAAGCAGTACAAGCTCTTAACCACTGGGCTATCACTCCAGCCCCAACTGTAACTTTTTAAAAAAGAAAGTAACCCATTTAAGTAGGGATAAACTACTTTTGGTTAGTATAATTTTAATTCATATGGTTTATTTTTAGATTTAAAGCAGCATCTCAAAACTCTGTACCTTAAACAACCTTTATCAGAATCATCTAGTGAGCAGTTAGAAAAGGGCTTCACTTCAAACCTAATCAGTCTCTGAGGATGATCTGAGAATTCTGCATGTTTAATTCTAATACATTAGAATTAAAAGCTGGGCCAACCATCTCTATCCACCACTGATAGGAATAGTTAATTTTTTGTATGTGTGTGGTATGCGTGTGTGTGCGTGTTTACGTATTTGTGGGTACACATGTTGAGGCCCAAGGTTGATGTTGGGTATTTTTCCCAAACCCTCTCCACTTTATGTACTAAGGCATGGTCTCTCCCTGAACCTGGGGTTCTATGTAGTGAGGCATGAACTCTTGCTAAACCTGGAGCTCGCTGTGTTGGATAGTCTGGCTAGTTGGCTTGCTCCAGGGAGTCCCTGCCTCTGCCTCCTGGGATTACAGGTAGGCTGCCACACCCACTCAGCTTTTCATGTGGGTTCTGGGGGTTCAGACGCCTCTCTTCAGACCTGCACAGTTAGCGCTTTGCCCACTGAGCCATCTCATTAGCCCTGAATAATTAGTTTTGTATGGAATTTCAGATCAGAAGACTGTTCTGTATTAAGTTCTGAATATACTGTTGGAGTTTATGTTGCAGTCAAATTATTAAAGTGTTTCTAGAGTTGTTGATATTTAATCTACGGACACACTTTTGGTTTCTAGACAATATTTGCACAGTTTCAACACAGTCGAGAAAAAGCACTTCCCTCAGATAACATAAGGCATGCTCTCGCAGAAAGCTTCAAAGATGAACAGAGATTTCAACTTGGCCTTATGGATGATGCTGCCGAGTGCTTTGTAAGTATTTCTGATGGTCCTTAAGAGGACAGAATAATAGTTTTTATTCCTTAGATGATACACATTTGTAGACAAATGAAAAAAAATTATAAAGGTGAAAAAGTGTTGGAACTGGTGAGTGACTCCATCTGTGTTCTATGTTGTTTTGGTTTTTATTGTGCTCTAGTTTTTACTGAATGTTAGTCTACAAAAATATGTAATTTATTGGAGTAGAAGAACTTGGCTGGGTAGCAATGATCACTGAAGTCAGTGTTTTGATTCCTAACAATAATATTTATTATTACATGGGTGAGAAGGGGTTCTTGGTGAGTCGCTCTCTGGAAGAACAGTTCCGGTACCCACAACCTCAGCTTGAGAATCACTGAGTTGATGTTTTTATGTGTGTGTTTTCACAAGTGTGTGCATGTATCATGTATCTGTAGGGTCAACCTGGGGTGCCACTGCTCGGGGGCTGTCCACATTATTTTTTATTTCAGTTTTTTTTTTTTTAAATTATGTGTATGAGTGTATTGCATGCATTTACGTAAGTGCCTGCAGAGGCATCAGAGAAGAGGGCATCAGATCCCCTGGAACTGGAGTTAGCTGCCATGGTTGCTGGGAACTGAACCCTGGGTCCTCTGCAAAAGCAGGCAGGGCTCTTAACTGCTGAGCCATCTCTCCAGCCCTGTTCTTTGTTTTGTAGATAATATTTTTATTCTTTGAAGATTTCATGCATTTATACAGTATATTTTGATCTTGTACATCCACCATTTCCTCCTTTCAACTCTCCTTAGTGCCCACACCTCCTTACGCTCCCAACTTTATGTCTTCTTTTTGTTGTTGTTTCTAACCCCCTGGGTCCTGTTGGTGCTGTTGGTATGTGCATGGCTGTGTGGTCATGCAGTTCACGGGCAGCATACCACTGGCCACGTCTGCAGAGTAGTGTGAGTCCTCCTCAGCAGCCATCAACTGCCAGTGGCTCCTTCTCCAAGGGCAGGGCCTCAGGGGCCGTTTCCTCATGCATGCTGCAGTTTTGACTGGCTTGATCTTACACAGGTTTTGCTTAGATAACTGCAGATGCTGTGACTCCGTGTGTATAGCTGCCGTCTTGTCCAGAAGTCTGCTCGTCACGGTGCTCCATTAGCTCTTTTGTTCTTTCTACCCACTCTTTTGAGGTGTTCTCTGAGCCTTGGATGGGAGGGGGTTAACAGATGATTTATTCACAACTGAGCACTTATCAGTATGTATTCTTAGCACTTTGACCACATGGGAATCTCTTCATTTACTGCTACATGCTGCAAAAAGAAGCCTCTCTGATTAAAGTTGAGAGCAACACGAATCTGTGGGTATAAACATGGACATTTAAAAGGTAGTTTGAAGGCATGATTATCAAAACAAGACCAGTAGTTTCTCCCCAAGGGTATGTGATCTCCCCAGTCATGGACTTTTGACCAAGTTTACAGTATTGGACATGAAATCCCTCCTGTGGAGTAGGCCTCATAGCCAATGAGAAAGTGGGTGGTTATCCCCATGACCATCATGCCACTATTGCATCGGTGGGCACATCTTGCCAGGCAGGTTGGTATTGGAGCATGCAGGGTCCAACACTTGGTAAGACCATTGTTGAGTTCTTGTCCCCCAGCAGCTTGCATAGTACCTGCCAGCACTGTAAAGTAGCCAGCAGGGAGAGAGCTTTCCTGGTCAGCCTGAGATTGATTTCTCAGTGTCCTCTCTGTCAGCAGTGGGGTCTTTCCATCTAGTTATGTTGGACAACCAAGAATAATGGCAGTAGTCTGGTTGTTTTGGGTGTCTGTGGGACCTCTTGACCAAAATCTCATAGGTACCTAAGGCACTGGCAACAGATTTTCATTTATTAACCTTGTCTTCTGGGGCAGCATTTTCCACTCATGGAGGGTCCTTCTGTTCAAACTCATTTTTTTAAAAAATGTTTTATATTTTTAAATTAGCTTATAAACTAGTGGATTTCCATAAGGCCGCCTCTTTGTGCATCCTTCTCTGTATGTGTGAGTGTTATGCCTGCGTGTGTGTAAGTGCACCTTTGTCATGCAATGCCCACTGAAGACATAAGAGGGTCTTGAATCCCCTGGAATTGGGCATACAAACAATTGTTAGCTGCCATGTGCATGCTGGGATTTGAACCCAGGTCTTGTGCAAGAACAGTCAGTTCTCTTAACTGCTGCACCATCTCTCCAGCCCCCTTTCTCCTTCTGTTTTTAGAGAGGGTCTTTTCACTGGCCTGGAACTGACTGGGTAGGCTGGGTTCGCTAGCCCCTGATTCTCTACTTTTTCAATACTGAATTACAAGCACCATCATACCTGGCTTTTTTCATGTGGATTTTGGGGATTGAACTCAGGGCCTCGTGCTTCTGAGGCAGTAATTTTGCCAACTGTCTACCTTCTCAGCCTGGGGTTGATGTTTTAAGGTTCTGTGTTGGTACATTATTAATAGAATTATCATGTGGCTAGTTCCTCTCTCATTGCTATTTCTGTTAGGAAGTTCTGTAAATTCTTCTGTCTTAAATCCTTTTGGTGTTTTCTTGTCATATTTTTTTCTGTACCACCACTTCTTTCTGATTCAAGCCTCTGCCCACAGCATAATTGAAACACCCTTTCTAGTATCCTTTTAGCCTGTTCTCTTATGGCCTTAGGCTCTTTTTTATGGCTAGCAGATTAATTTAATTTCCTTTGTGTTAATATTTGTTCTTCAAATATTTTGATGATTCAAATACAGAATTTTCTTCCAACATTTAAAGTCCTGTCCTTATCAATTAACTTTAAGTTGTCTCTTCACTTCTTACCTGAATTTTCTTTCCTAGTGAGATAGTCTCTCTTTTCTCTCTCTCCCTTTCTCTCCCCTCCTCTCTCCCCTCTCTCTCTCCCCCCCTTCTCTCTCCTCTCTCTCCCCTCTCTGCCCTCTCTCCCCTGTCCCTTCATCTTCCTATAGCCGCAGCTGGCCTGGAACTCATTATAGACCAGACTGTCCTTGAAGTCACAGAGATCCGCCTGCCTCTGCCTCCCAACTGTTTAGCAGCCTTTGCTCAAGATTCTGAAATAATCAACTTTTCAGATCTATCATTTTGTTGAGGATCAAATTAACTTGCCTATTACATAATTTATGATCATACAAGTTCAATCAATTCTCTGAATTTCTATAGAACCTTGTGTTTGTAGAATTTCTGTGGTAGTTCATGATCTTAGCAGTCTTTCCGAATAAAAATCTTTATGGTTACCTTGAGCAAGTGGAAATGTCCTTGACCACTGCATTGCTTAGTGTGTTTCCATGTTGACTAAATGAGCTAGTAACATTACACACACATAAAAACTCACTTTCATATTTTTTCTGTTAATTGATTCATTGCTTAAAACATAAATATATTTTGCCCAATACCAAACATTACAGTTTTACTTTCATTCAAATGAAATACACTAATGCGTGCCATCAGTAATTCATAAAATGTCTAGAAATCCAGAGTTAAATAACAGATTTTTTTAATGTCTGAAGGGAGAGGAAGGGAAAGATTAAAAGAATCTATGTTTAAGCTTTGATTAAAAGGTTTATTCTATTTTTAAAATGAATGCCACTTAATGGTCTGTTTTGTAAATCTGAAATTTTATGTTTGTTGCAAAGGACATTGCTTGCATTAGGGTGTAAGTGAAAAATTGAGTCGGTGTCATTTTAAGTTACATGGAGTAGTTGGTACAAGTAGGATTATAAGACGTTAATCTGGGTTGAGGAGATAAGAGTTGGTAAAATGTTTGCCTAACAAACATGAGGACCTGAACTTGATCCCCAGAACCCAGGTACACTTGCCCAGGAGGGTCACACACACATACGTTCCCAGCATTAAGGAGGCAGAGGCAGGAGGAGCCCTGGGGCTCACTGGCCAGTCAGCTCAGCCTAATTGGTGAGCTAGTTGGTGAGCTCCACCTCAAAAGAGGTGGATGGTGTTCCTGAGAGTGACACTTAAACGCTGTCCTCTGGCCTCCACATGCACTTGATTGTATACACACACACACACACACACACACACACACACACACACGCACACACACGTATTTTTTAAAAGTTAACTTGACCTTAATATGAGAATGCTGAGAATGTAAAGAATGTTTTTTGATACTGAATTCTGAATATCAACCACTGTGGGTTGATTTCTAAAAGAAGTTTTAAAATATTTTTTAATCACATAATTATTTCCATTAAGTTTTTCTTAAAGCCAATACTACAGAAGTTGAACACTGGAACATTTGAAGTGTTGGTTAGAGAGGAGCACTGAAAAGCTAGTGTACGTGACTCTCCTAAGTTTACAGTTTGGAAATTGTTCAGCTACATAGATTCATATATTGGAGTGGTCTCTGCAAGATCAGCACATTATCTATTCGTGTTTTAATTTTAAAATTAGGAGAACATTCTGGAGAGGATTCATTTTCACCTGGTGCCAAGCAGCGACACAGACATGTGTACCTCTAAGTCATGCATCACTCATCAGAAGTTTGCTATGACTCTGTATGAACAGGTGAATGGCTTCATTATTCAATTAGGTAGTATACTGATGTCTCATGATTACTGGATTAAACCTGTGTTTTTACCTGTAGTGCGTGTGCTGCAGCTGCGGAGCGTCTTCAGATCCTCTGCCTTTCACGGAATTTGTACGGTACATTTCTACAACAGCCCTGTGGTAAGATCTGTCAGTGCATATTTAACAAAGGTGTTAGTAACACATAATAAATACGGAGATAATCTAATATGAATTTCCCCTTCTGAGGCTAACAAATGTGCTATTGTTGAGAGGGACTAAGATGGAAGACTGTCCGTTGGATGTTTATAATTTAGCTTAATACTGGTTATCTGACGTGCTTCAAACTAGTTTCAAAATTTAGTTGTACAATATCTTGTGTATATATACTACAGTATCTTGGAGGTGGGACCCAAGTCTAAAAATGAAATTAATTTGTTTTATATGCATTTTATATACATAATCTGAAGGTAATTGTATATAGTATTTGTGGAGCACCTGAATTTTTACTGCACTGCATTTACATGGAGTTAGCTTTAGAATTTATCATTTGTGACATTATTTTAACATTCAGAAAACTTCAGATTTTGGACCATTTCACGCTAAATGTTTTACTTAATTAAATGTACAAAATTCAAAATTTGCATCTATGTTTCCAGCAGATTTTTGAAACTGAAGGGGAGTTTGAAATGAGACACTCATTGATAAAAGAACTGCACACTCTTAATTAAGATGTTCCCTTTTACAGTGGTGTCAGCAGGCACAAGACCCATGCAAACTTAAGCAGACAAAATCCAGCATAGAACTGGGGAAATGGGCAACAGGCCTCAATCTCGGCTGTTAGGCCTTAATATAAATGACAGAGTCCATGAAATCTAGTGGGGAACTATGGGAAGGTATGGATGATGGAGGGGATATAGAGATGATTAAGAAGTTTTGTAGGAAATACACAAAAATTCAATAAAAAATATACTAAAGAAGAAGAATGCTCCCTTTGGATTGGCCATGCTCCCCCAGCTTTACTATAAAAAGCTAGGGTAAGCAGGAAAGAAAGAAAAACATGAACATAATCTGTGCGGGGTTATTGTATCTGAGACCTCAGCATTGATCATGAATAAGAATTTGTCATGCTTACCTGTCTGTAGGCTTTTCCCTCTTTTCCTTTTTGTGGAACAGCTAAAGATGCAAAAATGATCCCTAGACCTTACATAACATCCATCAGTCAACAATCCTTTTTCTTTTTAATTTAATGATCTTAACCTGGTAAACTTGGATTAAAATTGAAACCTAAGTCTATCTGATTGCAAAATTTGTAAGGTTAATTGCTACTTTGATACTATCAGTTTGTAAAACCATTATGTCCAGTTTGCATGCTTATCAAATTCTAAGTGCTTTCTAGAATACTTGGTTTTTGTTTTGTTTTGGTTTTTGGTTTTTTTTTTTTTTTTTTTTTTTTTTTTTTTTTTTTTTTAAACTGGCGTGTGAGAGAGAAATGCCTGTAAACTACAGGCCTGAGAGAAAATCATTCCATTTATTTGGGAAGAGGGTGGAGTTTTTTCCTGAAGAGATTCATTTGGAGCAAGCCTAGAACGTCAGGCATGCTAGACCACACTCTCCAACTTAATATAGTATACCCTGAGCCCTATGATCCAGCTTTTACTCTCCTCATAATGC